TTTTATTCTGATGACAGAGGAGAGCTCTGAGGGTGGGAGAGGAATGCCTTGTTAGGCTTGAGGATTTGGGGGGGCACAAATATTAATTAAGGTGAAGTGGGAGCAGAGGGCTATGTGGCAGGCATTCAGTGCCGTCAAAACCCTTTTCCAAGGGCCTGAAGACTGGGCTGTTTCTGAAATTCTGAGCCAAACCCACCCCCTCCTCCTTTTCGGGGCCGAATTGAACTCTTGCAACTGTGGCGAGCACAAAGGCGAATTCACGTTTCTCAAAGGCCCCTCTGCTCTGAATAAACACCAGGGAGAAGCAAGATCATTTTTGGTGGTGCATGAGCACGGGGCCCACAGCCTGCCCTCTCTCGGGAAGGGTCTCGCCTGGCCTCGCATTAAAAGCAACAATACTGGGGCAGCTGAAGGGACAGCCTGGCTCCTGAGCCCCCCATCACTCAGCCAGCACAGGAATGTGGGGACTAACTCCCAATTGCCCTCTTTCATCTCAACCCACAGCTTTTCAAGAGAAGCTTGAGTTCTCTATGAGTGTGTATTTGCTAATTGCAGCCTCGGCTTTAATGAGATTCTTTTAAGTCCCCCAAGCTCCTTTGCAGGTTATAGCCTTATCTGGGGACCCACGTTTTCCACTCTGGCTACACATCCTGTGAACAATCGCCTCTCCAGAGCCTGAAAGGAGAGCGAGCGCACCATTTCTGCTGAATGCACGTCTCAGTTCATCCAAGGCTGGCGGGCTTTTGATGGCCACAATGCAAGTTACGCCCAAAGAGTGTCTCTTTGGTCAGATCGACAACGCTTGGTTTCACGTTTGCAAGTTAAACGGGCAGAAACCCGGCTGAAACTCCCACGCCAGACGCTGGGGACATTTCCCTCCGCCCTTCTCAGAGCAGAACTGGGGAAGGGGTCTGGGTGGGGGGAGGAAAGAAGGGAGAGGTAGTTGTGAGGAGGGGGCGGGGGAGAAGAGAGTCCTCATTCTCAGCAGCTATCTAGAAGAAGAAAGGGGGGGGAGCATTTTCTCTGGCATTTCTTTATTTTTATTTTTTTCATTTTGCTTTGTTGGCAGCTTTGCGCAAACAAAAAAATAAAACGAGAGCATTTTCTTCTTGTCTTCACCTAGGTAGCTGCTTTCCTTCAGCCCCTGAAAATGTGACTCCTTCATAAAATCAAAATTTATGATTATTCAAATGTTGGGGACTGTGAAAAGAGAGGAAGAAAGAGAGAAAATTAATATTGCAGCTGTTCTTCTGATTAATGAGAGATAATTGCTCATGAAAAGTCACCCCTGTGGCATTTTGTTGTCTCCTGGATCTTTGTTCTTTTCCACTATTATTGAGGACTTTCTTGAAGACTAAGCGGTTCTTTTCAATTTTTGGGTATTCAGAAAGGGTTGCCTGGTTACAGAGAATGGGGAAATCTCGGGCTATATCGGGTAAGATGTGCCACAGACAGCAATATCACAATGCCACTCGGAGAAAAGGATGGATACAAGTTAACGATGCACTTTCAATAAAACATTCATAGACTTGTTCACGCTTTGATAATGACCTCATTAAAGGGAGCTGGGGGCAAGTAAGTCCTGTCTCCTGTTTGTGTTCGGCTAACAAAACCCAGCTTTGAGATCATTCATCGCTTTGGAAACTAATATGAAATCAATGTAAGAGGAGCAAATAAATCCGAGGCGGCCCCGCCAACTCCGGGGCTGTCCCGCCCTGCTCGCAGCCTCCATTTGGAGCCGGAGAACCATGTGGGCAAACGCTGAAACCGAGAGAAAAAAGGAATGGGGATGAAAGAGGGGGGCATTTGGGGGGATGCAGAGGGAGGGGCAAAGTGGGAGTTACAGGCTGAAAAAAAAACGGGTAAGCACATCAACAGGTCAGAAATCCGAGGGCCTCTTGAATGAGCAATGCTGAGTCCCTGCCCTTTACTTTCCCTGACTTTGCCCATGAAAGGAAACAGGAAGAAAGAGAAGAGAGAATCGTGGGGTTCTAGTCAGGTGCCATCGCAGAGGGGGTGAGAAGTGCTGGAAGAGCTTTTGAAAGTGGGACCAAGAATTCGAATCTCCAGCCTGAGCTGGAAGGAAGCTGCTCACCCAGACTCACGTTGGAGAGTCCAGAGGCAAGAAGGCCCTGCCTCTGCTGTTCTTTTCAGAACTGCTTCGATTTGTTCTCTAAGTTGACGGGAAGGGCGGGGTGCCCTGGCCAGGAGGAGGTGGGGAGAATAATGTCGTTACCTTCACATTTGTGACACTGTCTTGCACTCAAGGAACATAAAACCATCCTCTTATCATCCCGAGCAAGAGGGAGGGAATCAAAGGATTTCCCCCTTCCCTTAAAAGAACTAATTTTCTCCTTGAATTATGAAAGTAATGGCTTAGGTAACAGCCTGTACTCTGTACCCAACTGCTTAATACCGAATAAATCCTTCCACGTGGCTCCCCGAGTCGTGGCAATTAGAGCTCATTATAGGCTCATAAGAGCTCTCGTTTCGGGGATTACTTAATGGACGACGAAATTTTATCAGACAGAATCACTGAGAAATAAAATTGTGTGGCGGCACAAGCACCGTGGGCACACGCCGACGGTCTGACTACTCCCTCCCGGGAGAAAGCCTAGCTGGGGTCTCCTGCTCCAAGCAGGTTCGGGGCACTTCTGCTCCAGGGAACAGCAGGGCTGGGTAGGGCTGGAGGCAATGCTGCCCAGGGCCACGGAGGGGAGGCTTCCTTTGTTGGAGTTGGTGGGTAGGCAGGTAGGGTGGGCTTCTGAGGTTGGGGGCTAGATTCAAGGACAGAGGAGGGAGAGAGGAAGGGAGACACAAAGATCCAAACAGAACTAGAAAGAAGAGCCAGAGAAGATGGAGATTATGCAAGAAACATGACCCCAAACTACTTGCTCTTGGTGGGCTCAAGCAATTAACCAAGTACCCTAAGGGTAAGTTTCTCAGACACCTTCCTTCTTTCAGCCTCAGCCTGGCCCCAAGCCGCTGTTCCCCTTGCAGCCCTTAGCAACCCTGTGGACCCCTCATCTGTCTCAAAATTCCTTGGCACTGGAAACCAAATGTTGCCATAGTCAGACATAAATTGAATGAGATGCTCAAGCCTCTTGTATAATTAAGATTCTCTAAAATAAAATGATCTGCACATGAGTGCAATTTCTAGCATATTAGCATAGAGGTCCTTCCTGTGAACCCACCCAAAACCACTGGGACCATTGTGACCCAAACTGTCGGCCCCAACACACTGTAGATAACCTACCTAACTCAGAGGAGGAAAAAGGAGAAAGTGATTACTCTCAAAGAGGATATATATATATATATATATATTTTTTTTTTTTTGCACGAAATGAGTGAGGGAAATTGAGTCACCTATCTGGATAATTCAGACCTGTAAAAAACACCCTGCCATTAAGCTTCTCTCAATTATTGAGCTCCAAGTCTTCTTCCTGGGGCTGGAATGATTTCAGGGGCTGCCTGGATTCTCATGAGCAAGGGTGGGCTGGGGTGAGGCTGAGCGTCTGCGAAGGCTGCATCAGCAAGCCTTGTGGTACAAAAGTAGTTACAGCTGAGCTGCCCCACGTTAAGCCCTGAGACTCCTTAATTGTTGTCACAAGATGTTGGATTAGCACATTTCTGGAATAGCTGTCTGTTTACACTCCAGAGACCCACCGTCCACTAACCGCTTTCTAATTGAATTCTAATCACATTCAAATAGCTCAATAATCAGCCTCAGCTGCAATTCATAAAACTTTAATTGCCATCCATAAATCCTGGGCTCCCCAGAGCGGGGCATCCCCACAACCCAATTACTCCTCTAGCAGGCAAGAGAGACGGTCTCCTAAGAGATGGAGAGGGGAAGAGAGAGAAAGAGGACAGAGAGACAGAGCCATGCCTCCAGCCAGTGCTCTTGGATTTGGGCACTTAGTTCTATCAGGTGGAGAGAAGTTTCTTAGCACCATCGTGAACTCAGGTCTGAAGTTAGCTGTTCTAGGGAAAGAATAGGAACTTGTAGCTGCTACCCAGCCTCCTTGCTCTGGCCGCTTTTCTGCAGGGGGAGAAGAGAGAAAACTGTCACTTTTGCTGCCTTGCCCAAAGATCAACAGCCCCAACCTCGGGAGCCACCTTCACTCACATAGGTAGGGGCACAGAAGTCTACCAGGGACCGAACCTTCATCCTTTCTGGGCTTTTGGGAAACAGAGGAAAGAGTGCTTCCTGGTTAGCCTTGCCAGCTACCCAAGCTTAGTAGAACTGAGAGGGGCATGAGATCACCAGATTCTAAGCAAAGGTCTTCTCCAATCTCTGCCCAGTCTCCTCCTGCAGAGCTGGTGTTTGGGGTCCTCTTTCCAAAATCTTTGGGATGGAGTTTGCAGGGTTGGCCCGGAAATGCAGTGGTGACGCCGCTTCATGTTGACTCTTCAACATCTCTCTCAGTGGCAGGGGGAGCTGCAGATTAGAAAGGGCACATGGAAGGGTCGTTGGTCCGAGTGGCCCTCCTGGTGGCCCTCCAAAGTACAAAGACACCTTAAACCTTCCAAGCATCAGAATGGAAAGCTTGGCGGCTTCTTAGCTGGGCCTCCCTGTGACGCCGGATCTGTAGTGAACTAACCACCTGAATGACCTTGGCTAAGTCCCAAAGCTGGGGGACAGGAGTAGGTGTGATCGGGGGCTGGAGGGATGCCGGTCCAGCGCTTGCTTGCACGATACTGCTCCGAGCCGCAGTGCCACCGCTGGCACAGAGTTGCTGGGAACCCCGGGCACTCCCATTAAAAAGGCCTGCAAGTCCCCACCTGGTGCGCGCTGTGGCAGGGCGCGGGGAAGAGTTGGGCTGGGGCCCAGGCTAGGAATGAAGGATGCGGCGCAGCGATTTCTCGCGAAAGCGTGGAGAAAGAGGGGGAGGAGGCCGGCCTCCCCGGGAAATTAACAAAACCTACACTTTGCAAAGTCTCCCCCCTCCCCCTCCCCCGCGTCCCTCCCTGCCGCGCGCCCGCCCCCCCTCGCCGCTTCTGTTGTGACTCGGGCAGCCTATCCCGAGGGTGGGGAGCTGCCGAGGAGCCTGAGCCGAGCGGTACTCCGCAGCATCACGTGCCGGGGTGGGGGCTATAAAATCCCGGAGCCGGGGCGCCGGGCGGGGGACGTGAGGACCAGCCCTCTCCGGGGACCCCTTTGTTCCCGGCCCAGACTCCTACACCTTTGCGTCCCCAAGGGTTTGACCGCCGGCGTCCACGCAGCTCCCGGGGCAGAGCTCAGGACACGAGAGGGGAGGGGTCGCCGTGGCCGGGCCCTCCAGCCACCCACCCCTCTCGACATGTCGCGCTCCTTCTATGTCGACTCGCTCATCATCAAGGACTCCTCACGGCCGGCGCCCTCGCTGCCTGAACCGCACCCCGGGCCGGATTTCTTCATCCCGCTGGGCATGCCGTCCCCACTGGTGATGTCCGTGTCCGGGCCAGGCTGCCCGTCCCGCAAGAGCGGCGCTTTCTGCGTGTGCCCTCTCTGCGTCACTTCTCACCTGCACTCCTCTCGGGGGCCGGCGGGCGCCGGCGGCGGGGGCGCGGGAGCCGGGGGTACGGGGGCCGGGGCCAGCGGGGCGACTGCGGGGGCCGGGGCCCTTCCCCTGCTCAAGAGCCAGTTCTCTTCGGGGCCCGGGGACGCGCAGTTTTGCCCGCGGGTGAGCCACGCGCACCATCACCACCACCCGCCGCAGCACCACCATCACCACCAGCAGCCCCAGCAGCCCGGCTCAGCCGCTGCAGCGGCGGCGGCGGCGGCGGCGGCGGCGGCAGCCGCGGCGGCCTTGGGGCACCCACAGCACCACGCACCCGTCTGCGCCGCCACCCCCTACAACGTGGCGGACCCGCGGAGATTCCACTGCCTCGCCATGGGTAGGGCGGGGGCTTTGGGTACCTGCGCGCTGCGCCTTCAGTGCTCCCGGGAGCAAACTTTCCGCCCCCAGAGGAGGACGTGGGAGCCCGGGGGCGGGGTGGGAGGAAGGAGGGGCTTTTAGTGCAACGCGGGAGTCGTCCCCAGAAGTTCCACGCAGGTGGAAGTTGGCTTGCCAACCTCTCCACGCAGCCCGGTGCGCCTCGCTCCTGGTGCTGGTGCTCAGTATCGCCTGATATCGGGGTCTTGGGGACCTCGAACGTGACAGTAGAGAAACCAGAGGTTAACTGCTTCAGGTTGGGGTGGGTGTGTTTGAACTCAAGTGCATCATGGCTGCATCTGGCTGGCTCAAGTGTTTTGATGTTTTTGGCTAAGCCCGCGCGCCTCTCCGCCAGGCTCTAAGAGACGATCATACAGTGCAGGCCCCCACCCCGCTTTAATCCTCTGACTTTACGTCCCAAGCATCAAAAGCTTTCGTTTGCTTTGAGCATCTCTTTCCTTCCCAACCAACAACGCGCCGTGAAACGGGAAAGGATCCAGGTGGGCTTCGCGGGTGGGTCCCTGAGAGGTGTCCTTTCCAAAGGATGGCACGTGGGATGGGGGCGGCTCGCGCGAGCCTTACCTCTCTGTCCTCTCTTGGTCGGTTCGCAGGAGGCTCCGACGCCAGCCAGGTACCCAACGGCAAGAGGATGAGGACAGCGTTCACGAGCACTCAGCTCCTGGAGCTGGAGCGAGAATTCTCTTCCAATATGTACCTGTCTCGACTCCGGAGGATCGAAATTGCCACGTACCTGAACCTGTCGGAGAAGCAGGTGAAAATCTGGTTTCAGAACCGCCGGGTGAAGCACAAGAAGGAGGGGAAGGGCACGCAGAGGAACAGTCACGCGGGCTGCAAGTGCGTTGGCAGCCAGGCGCACTACGCGCGCTCGGAGGACGAGGACTCCTTGTCGCCGGCCTCCGCCAACGACGACAAGGAGATTTCCCCCTTATGAGGGAAGGCCGCTACCCCCTCACAACTGGGCTCCTGGCAGCCCCGAGCAACTCCAACGTGGGGTGGGGGTGGGGGTGAGGGACCCAGGGATCAAAATCCTCGCAGATCAGTGATCCCATCTGGAGAAGAAACAAATGAAGTCCCGGAATACACAAGCCGGGCATGACCCTCGGGTCTCCTTCTTGACCTGTTTATTTGGGACTCTACTCGAAGTTTATAGATTGTTTTTAAACAATGTAAATAACCTAGAATTCGACTCAGTCTCATCTCGTATCAAAGGAAAAACAGGGTTGCTTGAAGTTTAACACTGTCTGGGGGTTTTTGAAAGCGCATGGCATTTCCCCATCCCTCCTGTCTTTCAGAACCTGATAAGAACACAGGGTTTCTTGATTATTTCCTGTTGTTGTTGTTGCTTTAAGATGAAAACACTGACGTTGCAAATAATTTAGAAAATCAAACCCTGTAGGTCTTGCTTTCTGAAATTTTGTCTGGGGAGAGTTTAAGATGCAAGTCGCTGGAAGTCCCTTTGTATGTGAATAGTTTTATATAAAATTTATATTTATATTTATTTAAATAAATGAAACAAAATCAAGATTTTAAATTCGTGATTTTGCTCTCCTCATCTTCTCTTCCCCTCCTCCCCCCACGTTTAGGGAAAGGCATAGATAGAAAAAAAAAACTGAGAACTTAGAGGAAAATGTCGACTAGAACTTGGTAATGTGAGTCTTTTGGCTGAGGGAGTTTGTGGCTCTATAGGTTTTTCTATGGAACAGCAACTTCTTACAAGGAGATGTCTTTAGTCATAATGCCACCTACCAGGCAGTCCCCTCCGTCCTCAAAATAAGTACCTCCTCACAGTTGACAGGATCAATCACTCCACTTAGAGTGACATTGACAATTAATGACAGGTAAAACTTTTATTTAGCAAGGGAGGGTGAAAATCCCTTACCTATTGTTATTTTCTGTGGCAGTTCCTCCCCCCTCCCTTCTTTCTTCCTCCTCTTCTCTCTCAGTACCAAAACTTGAATTCTGTAAAGGCATTTGCACAGTGAGAATAGTCCTAGGAAGAGCGACAATCCATCAGACGGGTCAGAAGCCAACGCATAGAAACTTACAAACAATGCTGCAAGTGACTAGAAATGTTCCTGGTTGGCTGTATAGCTGGGAAATTAGCTGGTTTCCCTGAGTGCTGAGAAAATAAAGCCAAAGACAGGGAAGTGTTCTGTCCAAAGATTTACAATCTCACTTTTTCTAAACAACCCAGAGATGCCTTTAGACCCTTGGTGGTTTTGTTTTGTTTTCTCCTGGTCTCCCTAACTTAAACCAACCTTCCTTCTTTCCTTTCTTCCTTCCTTCCTTCCTTCCTTCCTTCCTTCCTTCCTTCCTTCTTTCCTTCCTTCTTTCCTTCCTTCCTTCCTTTCTTTTCTTTTCTCTTTCTTTCCTTCTTTTCTTCTTCTTCTTCCTCCTCCTCTTCTTCTTCTTCTTTCTCCTTCTTCTCCTTCTTCTCTTTCTTTTTCTTGTCTTTTTTTTTTTTGATGTCCACTTCTTAATTCAGAGAATTGGATTGGCTTCCTTCTAATCCCTCCCTTCGCATTGCCTAGCAGCTCAGTGCCTGCAAGCCCGGTGCAGAGAAGACTTCCGTCCAGCTCCTCGCTCAGCAGGGCAACCTGGCTCTTTCCCCAGTGCAGCCTGGGCCTGCCATCTAAGGGAGAGAAGTGAAGAAGCTGGAAAAGCTGAAACTAGGAGGTCTGACTCCCTGCAAGCTGAGTCCCATGAACACCCACGGGTGTGATTTCTGATTATTTTCTATAAAGATGCCACCCACTAGCTTCAAGCTACAGAAAATTGTTTACAACACACACACACACACAATTTCTTTAGGTCTGATTTACTATAGGAAGGCCGGAACTGAAGCCTCACTAGGTGCAGCTGGGGCTCTAAGACTGTCTGGAAGCTAGTTAGAGAACCAGAAAGCAGGGAGACTGTGACCACGGTTTTCCCTGGGTGTTTCTCTCCCCACCCGTTCTTCTCCCGGCCAGCACACTCGGGAGGCTCGGGAGAAGGAAAACCCCCCTCTCAGACCCCCAGGCCCGCCAACCCCCATTGCGCACCGGCCGGGCAGGAGGGCGGAGGGACCGCTCTGCGTCTTGCTGAATGGGGAGCTGCCGCCGCTTTGTGAGATGAGCCGAGCTGACCTGCGCAGAGGTCCGGGGCAGACGGCTCTCCCCTACCGGGCCTCGGGATGGCTTTCCTCCCCTCTCTCACTCTCAGAGCCCCAGGCCCAAAGGGAGGAGGCCAGGCCCACTGCCTTTCATAACCATCCTGTTTCCCTTCTCCCCAAGAAACAAGCTTCTCGGCGCGCGGGGACAGAGGTGGGAGGAAGGGAGTTTGCAGGCTGCAAAGAACAGGCGTTCCAGGAGAATAATTCCTTTGCAGGAAATCAGAAGCACAAAGAGCCCCCGCTGCCGCTCTCTGTGCTCCTGCCCAAAGTGAAGCCTCATCTGGGTAGTGGGCAGACCCTTCTGTCCCCCTCCCATCTTCGCCAGGCCCTCTGCCGCCCGCGCTCTGGTCCGGCCCATGGTCAAGTCCATGACCGGTCTAGACCCCCGCCTCCGAGCCTCGCCCTGGTCCCCGACCCCAGGCCCTGCGCCCGCACCGTGCAGCCGCGCTCTTGCAACACCTGGTGCTGCCGGTGCGCCCAGCGGTGCCATCGGACCGAGAGACGCGGTGCCAGCCCCCTTTGGCTGGTTTCGGTCTGCTTGATGGCCTCAGCCCCTCTCGCTCTGATCTTCGGGGTAATTCCCCAGGGAAGGAAGAATAAACGGTGCGTTTCTCTTCACAGGCAAAAAGATTCAGGTAAAGATACCTATTTAAACTTGGGACACTCCGTAAAAAGAAAGATTCCCCAGAGTTTCCAGGGAGGTCCTCCTTCTAAGACATCCCATGCCCGGGTGGACCTTTTTGTTACTTTCCGAGTGGAGTATGAGATCTCCTGTTCTACCAGGATAGATTTTGCATTCTCCCCAGCTCCACCCCCTCAAAAAAAATCAGTTGATGTTTTCAAAGTTTTCAAATCAGAATAAGGCTTTGTGAATCTGGAATCTGTCTGATTTTAAAGGCCTACAGTTTCACTTTAGGTTAAGAATACCTGAGCTAACCCCCAGACACACAAATACTCTGCTAAATAATCTTGAGATCCAACACGCTAAGTGACACTTACCTAGATTTCTTTTTTTTTTTTTGAGACAGAGTCTCACTGTGTTGCCCGGGCTAGAGTGCCGTGGTGTCAACCTAGCTCACAGCAACCTCAAACTCCTGGGCTCAAGCGATCCTCCTGCCTCAGCCTCCCGAGTAGCTGGGACTACAGGCATGCGCCACCATGCCCGGCTAATTTTTTCTATATATTTTTAGTTGTCCGATTAATTTCTTTCTATTTTTAGTAGAGACGGGGGTCTCGCTCTTGCTCAGGCTGGTTTCGAACTCCTGAGCTCAAACAATCCGCCCGCCTCGGCCTCCCAGAGTGCTGGGATTACAGGCGTGAGCCACCGCGCCGGCCGTTACCTAGATTTCTTTAAGAGGAAAGTTTAGGATGTTTGAGGTCACCCGTGACAATTTCTCCACCTGAGAAGCACTGGACACCAGTTTTCAATATGCCCCCACTTGAAAAACAGAAACAGGACTCTGTTCTCCCAAAACATTAGCTCTTAGAGGCCTATAAACATAGAATGCAAAGAGAAAGAAAATAAAAATGAGAATTAGAAACCAGGGACTTGTTCCACTAAGAGAAAATTGGTGAGCAGCAGGAGTCAGTTGTGGTTGAATCCAACTTTTTGAGAACAAGTCCAATGGTAGCTTTAAATGGGAAAAGAGCTGGGGGTGGGATGCAGAGCAGGAAGGATGACCTCTCACCCCTGTGCCCTGGGCCAGCCCAGACATTCGGAGCAGAGAGGAGGAGCCAAGACCTTTCCCCTACACCCTCCCACTCAGCGACCAACAAACGCCCAAGGCCAAGGGCCTGACACTGATAGCGGCAAAAAGCAAGTCATCTCAATTGTAAACCCTGTCAAAGGCAAAAGGGACCCAGCAGCCCATCTTTAGGGTGGCAGTGGGCCCAGATCATAGAGACATTGGTGCTGGTAGACATCCTTTCGTCCGGGGTCCTTATTCTAAAGTGGTTTGAAATGGTTATCACAGCTCAGCCTTCCCCTCCCCACCCCGCCGCCCCATCACCCACCCTCTGGGATGTGGAGTCTTTGATTTCTGGTCTCTACCTCCCTCTCCTCACCCCATCCCCACTCCCCACCAATTCAGTCCACTTATATCTGATCAGGGTTAGAAATGCATTTTGCTTGGTCCAGTCTGACTGTGGTCAGACAACTGCCAGAAAGGCAGTTGTTCTAAATAAAAGTGGTCACAGAGGGCAACAGGGTCTGTGTATGTGCATGTGTGTGGTGCATGCAAGCATCATATATGTAAGAAAGAGACAGAGAGAGAGAGAGAGAGAGAGAGAGAGAGAGAGAGAGAAGGAGGGAGGGAGGGGGGAGACAGAGAGAGAGAGAGAGAGAAAGAGACAAAGAGAGAGCACATTGGTAGTGGTTGTAGAGTCCATAGGTAGAAAAAGAAGAGTAAGCTCATAGGTAGAAAGAGAAGAGTAACTTTCACCAGTTTTTTCCCCCTCCCACGTGTACTTTTCCTGCAGGTTCCTCTCACTTTTCATGTCCCTCCTAGAGATTTCTTTGAGGAAGGTGGGCAGGTGCTCAAAGTTGGGTTGGGGGAGGAGGAGAAACAAGCTGAATGTCACCAGAGACTAGGAGGAGAGCCCTGGGGTGGGATCTCAAGCCCAGCCTTAAGGGTGCGAGAGAGTTGAGGAGAATGACACTTCCGATAGAACCTATTTGCTAGAGGAAATTGAGTTTAAAGGAGCAATCACTCCTTTCAAAGGAGCTCCTCCCATCTTCCCCAAACACAGCCTAAAGCTGTCCTAGACGATGAATGCAGCTCCGTGCTTCAAAGCAATTGTTCCTATTTTCATTATTCACAGGGAATCTTTGAATGTACCTGTTAAGGTGACAGACCTTTTAAAAGGGAACATTTTTTCCCATGCAATTAAACGGTGCATTTACTAGGCTTCTATTAACATAATTTAATATAAATCTATTTTATAAATCTTTAGGCTCACATTACTGAAAATTGAGCTTCCCTTTAAAATAAAAAGTCCACATTTCTTC